TAAAAGTTCATCAAATTATTTCTCAAAGAGCTGAAATGGTAGAACTTTGTTAGTCGATTGCATTGGTTAATGACTAATTCAGAGAATGTCTAGTAGCACACACTTAGGACCTGTCACTTTACAGAGGAGAAAATCGGACAGTTGCTAAGGCAAGACAAGAACCCAAGTCTTCTCCCTCCCAGGCCAGTGTTTTTTTCTACACAAAAATAAAAGTAAAGGTTTACCAATGAGCAGATAGTTTTTAAAAACACAGGATCTCACCTCTGCTCCTCCAAAACAGGACCAAGGGGCCCTGGTTCAATTAATTGAGTGAGTAGAGATCCATCCTGAAGTCTGAATGTTAGAGGGTCAGGGAAAGACAGAAACATACCCAGGTGTCTCTCGAACAGCAGCCTGGGTCATGCAGCCTGCCTCTCAGAGCCATATTGTGTTTAGCATATTTCTACCTGATTGAAATTGGATCTAAACGTGCCCAAGGTTGAATGGAAATGGAGGACATTATTGCATTTAATTATTTCTCTGGAATAAAAATGGATTCTAGCAGCAGCTTAGTGGTAAGGCGACCGCAGAGCAATTAGAGTTTTGAAGCTCTCACGCAAACATTTGAATGTGCAATCATTGTAATAAGTACATTAAAATAAAATAAGTCAAAGGGTTGCATTTGCATAAACAACCAAGGTGAGAGTATGGGACCAGTTAAGTAAAAAGGGGATACAGCTGGTTGATCATAATGAGGAAATAATAACCAGTCTGTCCTCCAGACAGAGACCACCAGGGTGACAGTCGAGGCCCGCTGGCAATTACTAGTGAACCTCATCTGGGTTCACTGCTCATCCTTCCCTTTCCTTGGGTGGTTGGCAGTTTTGGAAGTTTTACACACATTCATCCTCACCAAAATACCTGTGAGGTAAGGATTGTTATCCCCATTTTCCACACAAAGAAACTGAGGCATGGAGAGCTTGAGTCACTTCATTTCTAGCAATGTGGCCTTGGTCCAGTTGTAGAGCCCCGCCCCCCGCCCTCCCGAGCCTTCATTTTCTTCCCTTACTGCTGCCTGCTTAGTCCTTTTGGAGAGGATTGGGAACACAAAGTGTGTGAAGGGCCAGTGGAGGCAGGTACATGGATGCTGAGGATTTCACAATTATCCTGAACATGTTCGCCTAGAAACCTCTCAGGGAGGGTTTTTATAGGGAAGGAAACCTGGGCTTTGGATTTCTGGATCTCAGGTCTGCAGGGAAAGGAGAGGAAAGCTGAGATGTGCTTGCCCTTGGTGGGCAGGTGAAGAGTTAGGGCGAAGGGTGAGGCGATATCTTATGTTCTCAGACGCGTGGATGGGTAAAGACAAGGTGGTATATTCATACAATGGGATACTAATTCAGCCTTAAAAAATACAAAAGGAAATCCTGCTATTTGCAACATGGAGGAACCTTGAGGACCTTACGCTGAGGGGCATAAGCCAGTCACAGAAGGACATACTGATGGCCCCATTTAGGTGAGGTGAGGAATCAGGAATAAACTCGTAGAAGCAGAAAGCAGAACAGTGGTTTCCAGAAGCTGGGGGAGAGAAATGGGGAGATGCTGATCATAAAGTCTTAATTATGCAAGATGAATACATTCTAGTATCTGTAGGCTACTGTGCCTACAGATAGCAATATTGTATTGTGCACTTAAAACTGTGTTGAGAGCAAATGTGTGAAGTGTTCTTACCACAGTAAATACAATTTAAGAGAGAAAGGAGGGGAAGGGAGGGAGAAATCAGCTTCTATATAAAACAGCATTGACTCAGTGTGACAGGAGGTCTCAGGCCTCTGGATGATGCCTGATCCTCCCTGACTATGTCTTTTCTGGAAGCTCTCTCATGTCTGTGAGCTCTTCATTCCAGAAGACAAAGTATTTCCTTCCCCTTGTATTCGAATCTTTTGATTTCCTGTAGCAGCTAAGTGGCGTCTGGGGCCAGGCAGAAGGCCACAGGGCCATACTGAGCCGAGCATCCCCACTGTGGGGGCCTCTCTGAGCAGACGACGTGTATAAATCAAGAGTCCTGTTGGAATTGATGGTGATGCCTGGTCCTGATATCCCAAATTAACCAGAGGAATCGGCTGTTGTCAGATGGTCAGATTAGCTTCGCCCATGGCATTGTTTCCTGTGTCTGGTTTTGTTGAGGTTCTGCCACAAAGTGCTGCAAATGTCAGCTTTTGAAATCAGTGGTTTGTGGAGGTTTTCTGCTCAGGGGGCCAAATTGTAATCCTCAGTTAATGATGAAAGAGAACAGCCCAAGAATCATACTCAGGATGTGTCTGATGAGAGAGGATGCAGATGGCTGTAAGGACAGAGGCTCTTCTGCTTACTCTCTGCCCTCCCATTAACTTTTAAAAAACGAGCTTGGGGACAGAATTTTAATTCATGTGCTTGTGTAGCAGAAGACCGCTGGAAGGAAGAAAGCAGATCAGGCTGGCTCCTATATTAATCAGGATGAGATAGATCACTCTGCAGTAACAAAGATCCCCAAATCTCAGTGACAGAGGTTTACTTACGCCCCTGGAGTGTTGGTGGAATCTCTGCTCCACATTGGCCTCACTCAGGGATACAGGACTTTCACTATCAAGAGTGTGACTGGATGCAGTAGGGCAAAGAGGGACGTGACAAGTTGTGCCCTGGCTTCTGTCACTTGCCTTAACCACAGGAAGTTTCTTGGCTGTGCCTGATTTGCAGGGGGATGGGAAATATAATCTTATCATGTGCCTAGAAGAAAAAGGACTGAAATATTTGTCAAGCACTTTCTTCAGTACCATCCCTGCCCCACCCCCATCCAACTCCATCCGCGCCTAGGCTATATGAGCAAACAGGTAGCTACCCTTCCCACTTCCCCATAAAGAAGGGGGAACTAAATTCTTCTTGGTTTACCTCTCAGCCCAACAGAAGAGATGCTATACTATGGCAAGTTTGAGAATCAGACAGGTGCAAGTTCACTTCCTCCCCCAGATGACTTTGGGGAAGTTACTGAACATCCCCAATCATTTTCCCCTTTCCTGTTAGATGGGAATACTGGTACCTGCTTTGGAAGTTATACATGCTTAAGAATGTTGTAAGAACACTTAGGTTCCTAACGGGATAATTGTTGGTATACGATAAATAATACCTGTGAATTACTTAGTGTGTGGTACCTGGCTCGTGGCAGGCACTCAGGAAGTGTATCTAAGAGGCTGCTTAGGATTCTTCAAAGGCCTCTGAACAGAAAGAAGGGAAAAGAGGACTATCAGTGGGGTTCAAGAACGGAGACATAGAACCTCACCGAGGGGGATTTCTTGGAAGTATGTGTGGAGTGGTAATAAAGAACCAAACCAGTTGTCAGAACTGGAAGGTCCCTGTCACCAACCTGGATATAATATCGACTCCTGTGTATGACCTACAACTGCTCTGAGACTCAATAGAGCCACAGCTTTCCCTTCTTGGTATCTCTTTATTTCCTTCTACCTACACCATTGCCTCCCAGCTCCTGCCACCTCAGGCTCCTAGTGTTTCATGGCCCCTACGTACTGTTTCGTCCCACTCTGTGATTCTCTGCCACCTGATGGGCCACCAGCCAGACTTAAGAAGGCTATTTGCGGTGACATGCCTATCCCAGATCCATTTATCTGGGTGGGAGTGGATGGGAAGGGAGCCAGCTCTTGTGGTACAAAGCCAGGCTACAGTGCTTACGAGGAAAGGGGGATGGGGGCCTAAGGGGCACTGCATCTTCTTGGGAGTGGGCAGTGGAATGGGTAGTCCAGGGCATGCAGTCTGTGGTTTTCTTCATTACCTTGGGCGAGTCACTTGTTTAATGATGCTCAGTTCCCTCACCCATAAAATCAGAATAACAGCAATAGTCAACTTACAGAGTGGCCATGAGGGATCTTAGTGTCTGCTGTCGCTCTTACAGCCTCTTCTGAATAGGGGAATTCAGTGCTTGATGCCGGGCAAATGGGGCAAAGCCTAGAAGGGGCGGCCCCATATGGCTCCTCCTCGGGACCATTGCTGAGCCAACAGCAGGGTTGGGGGGCAAAGGGGTGGGGTGCAGCCAAGTAAACCAAGCCCAGGGGTCGGGGGAGAGACTTCTAAACTCACACTCCTGGAGGGCTGTAGACACTCCTTTCCTTATTTTAGGCTTTGCAGGCCAGACAGTCTCTATTGCAACTGCTTACCTCTGCTACTGTAGCATGAAAGCAGCCCTAGATAATACGTAAATGATAAAACATCGCCATATGCCAGCAAAAGTTCACTTACAAAAGTCAGTGGCAGGTGGGAATTGGCCCACTGAATAGTCAGCTGACCTGCTAGAGGAAGAGTCACCCCCAGGTGACTTCATCAGTTCTGCTCCACATATAGACATCTAGAGTTAAAGCTCAAACACAAAAGTGTTATAAGTTTGCGTGTCCCCTGGGATTCATTGTAAAGATCATTCTGCGAGGAGTGCGTTCCCCTCCAAAATACCCAGTGATGTCTCTCCTTCAGAATTGACTATGACTCTGCCTAATTTCTCTTATGGGCATAGATCTATGAACATGCCTTAAAGGCAATGGAATGTATATAATGTCCTACCAATATTTTCTCCTTTTATAACTTTGACACAGCATTGCCAGCCCTTAAATAAACCATCAAAGCACTCTCTGCTGAAATTTAAAAAGAAAGCTGGAACCAAATGTCCATAATCCAATGGCAGAGACAATCGAGGAAACTTATTTGAAAGGGGGAGGTATGGTTAATAACAAGCATTGAGACCGATAGTCATTGCATTGTATTGCCTGCAAAAGCCGTACTTTTTAGTTGAAATGTCTCATGTTTTCAGGTGGGGAACTGGGGCCTGAGAGAAAAGTCTTACCTGAAGTTAAGCTGGTAGCAAAGGTAGGGCCTAAAACCAGGGCCCAGACTTGCTAACCTCTGTGCCGCTCTCCAAGGCCAACCTACTTGGCGTGATCTTTCAGTGAAGTTTCTCTTCCCTGTTTCTTTCTTGTCTTCTCCAGGATGGCTACCTCTCTCACCGGCCAAAAGAGAAAGTGCGAACGGACAGCAACAACGAGAACTCGGTCCCCAAAGATTTTGAGAATGTGGACAACAGCAACTTTGCACCAAGGACTCAAAAGCAGAAACACCAGCCTGAGTTGGCAAAGAAGCCCCCAAGCAGACAGAAGGAGCTTTTGAAGAGGAAGCTACAGCAGGAGAAGGGGAGAGGACATTCGTTTCCTGGCAAAGGCACCAATGAGGTGCTACCTCCTGGCGAGGGAGCTGCAGTTAACAGCAGCCGTGGGAAGGATGCCCCCGGCCAGCCCCATGCCAGGAAAAGCGGGGGTAGCTCCCCTGAGCTCAAGTATGACCAACCCCCCAAGTGCGACATCTCTGGCAAGGAGGCCATCTCCGCCCTGTCCCGCGCTAAGTCCAAGCACTGCCGCCAGGAGATCGGGGAGACCTACTGCCGCCACAAGCTCGGGCTGTTGATGCCAGAGAAGGTGACTCGGCTGTGCCCCCTGGAAGGTAAGCTCCAGCCCCAGAGGCTGGGAGAGCGTCTCCTCGCCAACTCTTCCTCCTTCCCAGTCCCCTTCTGCCCACATTCTCAGACCTGCTGAGAATGACTGCCCTGCTATTCAACTCCCAAATCAGGACACAGGTTCCGATTTGCTTGGTACTCCCTGAATTCTGAAATCTTATATTTAAAAAAAGTATTTCAAAATCAAATTACCTTTCATTATACATTTAACTAGTTGTAACGGATGAAATATGGTCAAATTGGGGGTTCATGTGAAAGCCTTAGAAGGCAAGGTGACTATACTGATATAATCTGTTTTCTGTCTCAGCAGACTTTTGGGATTGGAATTGACATGGATATTACTGTAACTGAATATGATTTGAAAGGTTTCTAATTGGTGGCATTGACTTTGGAGGCTCTGAAAAACAGCCTTCCTGTTTTCCTCCATCTAAGATTCCTTCCTCCCTCCCTCCCTCCTTTCCTTTCTTCCATATTTTCTCTTTCTTCATTTTCCCTTCCCTCCCTCTCTTTCTCTCTCCTTCACTCCTGCCCTATGCTGGTGCCTAGTGATAAATCAGATCTCTTGCTATGAGAGATCAGAGCTATAATAAAGATGCTGCATCCTCCTGTATTGTGATGATAGGCCAGAGAATCAAGAAAGCCAACTGCAGAGCTAATCCAGGTGGCAGGGTGGGAAGGTAGGAGGCTTTCGTTCCCCCTGACATTGGTGGATTTAGAAGCGAAGCAAGAAACACTTTGCCGGGTGGCCTCCTTACTCTGAGCAGCTACTGTATTCCTCCATCTCCCTTGATACAGAGGGAGGTGCATGGTGAGAATGGCTCCCAAGGATCAGCAAACGAGAAGGTCCCCTAGAGAAAGCTTAATGCCGTTTGTTCACTGGACAGATGGGAATGCAAGGCTCCTAGAGGGAAGGAGACTTATCCAAAGTCACCCAGTTAATCAGAGGCTGAACTTGAGCCAGAATTCTAGCCTCCTCACTTCAAACAGGCGCTCTCTATTTACTAGTGGTCACAGGATAATGAAGGATTTGGATCAGGTGGAGTGCAGCCACATGTGCTAAGTGCACAGAGAGGCCTAGAAGGGCATCCTCTCCATGTGGCAAGCTCTCCATGTGGCCTCTTCCCTGGGTGGGGTGCAGTGAGGACAATTCCAACTTTTTAGTCAAGTTCATCTGTATTTTTTGAGGGGTTTTTTTTAGTGGTGAATGTGTACCTATATAATACTTTCTTTTAAATAGAAAGATTATTTTTAAAAGTTCATTTCTCTCTTCACTTTAACACCTTATCTAAGTTGTCCAAGTGGTTCCCATATTTATTCTTACCATCGTTTTTTATCGTCACCTGAGGACATGCTTATTGACTTTAGAGAAAGGGGAAGGGAGGGGGAGAGAGACGGAAAGAAACATCCATGTGAGGGAGAAACATTGATTGGTTGCCTCTTGCACACGCCCTGACCTGGGACCAAACTCACAACCCAGGCATTTGCACTGACAGGCAATCGAACTTGCAGCCTTTTGGTTTACAGGATGATACTCCAACCAACTGAGCCCCGCCAGCCAGGGCCATCTTTATTCTTGATGAGTAGACAGAGTATAGGTACATGGAGGGACATGTTTCCCAGATGTTTTGTTAATCAGTGCATAGCCTGGCAAAAACAGTGATAGAATCTGAGTTGACTGCTCTTCCAAGAAAATAGTATTGGCCATGCACGGTATACCAAAGGTCGGCACACTTTTTCTATAATAGGCCAGAGAGTAAATGTTGGAGGCTTTGTGAGCCATGCAGTCTCTGTCACAACTACTTTCATACACAAATGCACTTGGTTATGTTCCAGTAAAACTGAATTTTCAAAAATGGGCAATGAGCTGGATTTGGCCCGCCGGCTACAGCTTGCGTACCTTTGCTAGATACCAGTCCTATATACCGTAGCGTCCCCCGTTACCCACGGTTTTACTTTCCGAGGTTTTGGTGACCTGCAGTCAACAATGGGCTGGAAGTATTGGAAATAATGGAAAATTTCAGAAATAAACCATTTGCAAGTTTTAAATTGTGCGCCGTTCTGAGTAGCATAATGAAATCTCACACCGGCCTGGTATGTCCTGCCTGGGATGTGAATCATCACTTCTCTCAGTGAATCCCCACCATATTTGTTCCCCGCCTATTAGTCACTTAGCAGCCAGCTGGGTTATCAGATCTACTGTCGTGGCATTGAATTGCTTGTGTTTAAGTTACCCTTATTTTATTTAATAAGTCACATTTACATAACCTTTATTACAGTATAGTGTCATAATTGTTCTGTTCTATTATTAAATATTGTTGTTAATCTCTTACAGTGCCTAATTTATAAATTAAACTTTATCCTAAGTATATATGTATAGAAAAGGACATAATATATATAGGGTCCAGTATTATCTGCAGTCTCAGGTATCCACTGGGGGTCTTGGATAAGGGGGGACCACTGTACTAGTATATCTGACACTGTTTGCACCTCACATTACAGTGAATCCTCACACCAGTCCCATAAGGTAAATCTGTTATCAACCCATTTTATCTAGGAGGAAACTGAGGTTTAATGAGGTTTCATTCTTGGCTAGAGCAGCACGACGAGTACATGGCAGAGCCGAGATGAGAACTCAGGTTTTAGAGCCTGCATCGTTTTCCAGAGCTTCTCCTTCTTCAGGGGCTAAAGGTTTCACTTGAGCTGTCAAATCTCAGGGATGTCCCGCAGCCTGTAGTCTGCTGTATCTCTCTGTCGTCAGCATGGTTGCAGTAAGAGAGGATGCTCATGGGGAACAACAGTGTGGATGTTGCCAGTGGAGGCCAAGGGTTCCTACACATTTCTCAGTTATACTGAGTCATCTCTCTGTGGTTTTTGAGTGTGAATTCACCACCGGGGTTTCCCTTCGGCCTTTGCTGCATCAGCTAAGGTGGCACGGCCTCCTGGGACCTCTGAGCTGGTTAATAAGATTGGCATTTAAGAGCCATTGCACACCCAGCCCTGGCAATACTTTAATTTGCTGCACCATAGCCTCCCCCTTTTGCAATAAATTTACTGTGAATAGACTAATTGCAAAATAACCCTAATTGGATAGTTATCAATGAACAAGTTCCCGTGGAACAAAACAGCTTACAATTAATAGCATTTAAGCCATAAACTATTCTTCTGCAGAAAGCTAAGATGTAATTACACCCCATACGGAGATTGTGTTCCCTTTCTGGAAACTGTGACACCCCGATTTTCCTCTGCTTAGGAAGGATTTGAGCTCCAGCCCAGTAGTCCTTTTATTTCTTGCTAAATGAGGAAATGGAAGTGGGAGGGGAAAGAAATTGAATACTTGGGTAAATACACATACACATATGCATGCACACACAGATGTACGCACTTGCTTGTCGTTTTGCTGAGCTCAGCGTCACCCAAACTTCAGCCAATATGATGCTGGAAGTTGAATATAATTAAGAAAACAATTCCTCCTGGCCTGAGGTCTGAAAAAGTTAGGAGAAAGAAAATAGATTTTAAATGTTGACTTTTGTAAAGGGTTCCAGCTCCTCCCACCCCCAATGCCTCCTGTCCCCTGGCCCAGCACAGCTCAGTGGAAAGGAAGAGTCTAGAATCCCAGGAGTTGGTTTGCTTGCTGTGAGACAGTCGTTGCATTTGTGACTTGTCTACTTCACTCTCTGCCTCCTGGAAAAAGCAGCTGGAATGGTGACCCATTTTCACAAGGAAAGGCAGATCTACAGACTGTCCGCTAACAACCTTAAGAGCGAGATACAGTGAGGCTGCGCAGGGTGCTCTACCTGCCCAGCTCCCAGAGAGGCTTATTCCACTGTGGGCCCTCATTATTCCCGGAGCCCTTGTGCTCACTGTAGCAGCCAAGCCACCAACCCCCGTTTCCCCCACCATTCCCCACCCAGGCAGCTTCACACCCCTGCAGTTACCTGGGCCATCTGTCCCTCCCTTGGGCTCCACAATCACCCAAGGGCCACCAGTCGCACCAGCTGGACCTCCCAGGGTTCGTGGAAATGAAAACACGTCAGCCGGAAGGCCAGTGGTGGCCTGGACTGGAAAAAGATGTTTTCCATCCAGAGATTTGCAGGCACTGGGTTTGAATCCTGGTTCTGCATTTATTAGCTGTGGGATGCTACCCTCCCAGTGCCTCAGCTTCCTCATCTGTAAAATGGACACAGATCCTCATACCTTGTCCTTATAGAACTGTGGCTGAAATGGGATCATACACAGAAAATGCTTGGTGCAGAGGGGGCTCGAGTAAAGCAGATGTGTTTGGCTGTTGGCAGTAGAGATGACCATGGTAGCAGTATAAAGTATAAACGAGGGGGACAGTGAGAAGCACCAGAGGCCTGCTTCCATGGTGACATCCCACGGCCTAGCTGCATCTTTCTCACTCTGTCCTTCTGGTGTGGCCCCAAGTGCCTCAAGCATTTCCTCACGTCCCCTGCACTATTGCCTCATCCCTCCCTCCTTCATCCCACCTTGTCTGGCTATCACCTCTTTTTACTCCAGATTGCACCCTAAGTACTACCTCCTCAAGGAAGCCTTCCCAGACCACACCTTCCCTAGAAGCCCTGGCCACAGGGAACATGCTGATCCGGGTGAGGGGCAGAAGTGGTTTTCTCAATAGGTGTCTTTCTTAGTAAAGGCTGTTTGACCTATACGAGGCATTCTGGTGCCAGGAGCTACGTTACGCAACTTTTTCCACCTCATTATGTTTGGAATACATTAGGAAGCTCCCTCCATCAGCCCTTATGAACCTCCCTCCATTTTCAGTTAAAATGTCCTAAGAAGGCCCCACTGGTTGTCCTGGTTTCTCCTGCACTTCTTCACCCTTCTCTGTGCCAGGTAAAACTGTGACTGCAGCTCAAATGTCCAGGTAAAGAATGAGAGATGAAGAATGTGAGAAGTTTCGTAGAAAGCAATCAGCTAGGAGGCAGGGTGGGCTGGCTGGCCTTAGCGGGTGCTCGGAGCCTGAGCA